AAATCTTTATTTTAAAAATTCCATTTATAATAGCATCAAAAGGAATAAAATATTTAGGAATAAACTTAACCAAGGAGGTGAAAAACTAGTACACTGAAAACTAGAAAGCACTGCTGAAAAAAAATTATATATACAAATAAATGGAAAGACATTATTAAGATATTGATACTACCCAAAGTGCTCCATAGATCAACGCAATCCCTATCAAAATCCCAACGATATTTTTTGCAGAAATAGAAAAATCTCTACTAAAATTCATATGGACTCTCAAGAGATCCTGAATAGCCAAAACAATCTTAAAAATAAAAAGAGCACCATAAAAAATAATAAAATAATGCCATTTGCAGCAACATGGATGGACCCGGAGACTGTCATTCTAAGTGAAGCCAGAAGGAGAAAGAAAAATATCATATGATATCACTTATATGTGGAATCTAAAAAAAAGTCAAATGAACTTATTTACAGGACAGAAATAGACTCACAGACATAGAAAACAAACGTATGGTTACCGCGGGGAAAACAGGTGGGAAGGGATAAATTGGGAGTTCGAGATTTGCAGATACTTATATATATAAAATACATAAACAAGTTCACACTGTATAGCACAGGGAACTATATTCAATATCTTGTAGTAACTTATGGTGAAAAATAATATGAAAACGAATATATATATATTCACGTATGACAAGCATTGTGTTGTACACTAGAAATTGACACATTGTAAACTGACTATACTTCAATAAAAATATATATACAAAAATATATTTACAAAACATAAAAAGAACAAAGTCTGAGGTCTCATGTTTCCTGATTTCAAAACATACTATAGAGCGATGGCAATCAAAATAATGTGGTACTGGCATAAAGATGTATATTTACACAAATGTAATAGAATAGAGAGCCTAGAAATAAATACTCACATATAATCAAATGATTTTTGACAAGGGTACCAAGATCATTCCATGGAAAAAAATGGTCTTTTAAATAAATTTCAGGCAAAATGGATATCCAAATGCAGAACAATGAATTTGGACCCTTACCTTACACCATATATAAAAGTTAGCTGAAAAGTGATTAAAGACCTAAATGTAATAGCTAAAACTATAAAAGTCTTAGAAGAAAATGGGAAAAGCTTTATGACTTTAGGTTTGGCAATAATTTCTTGGACATGACACCAAAAACAAGGCAACAAAAGAAAAAATACATTAAATTGAATTTCATTAAAATTAAAAATTTTGTGCAAATGACTTTATTGACAGAGTGAAAAGGCAACCCACGGAATGAGAGAAAATATTTGCAAATCATATATCTAATAAAAGGTTAATATCCAGAATACATAAAGAACTACTACAACTCAGCAACAAAAAAAAAAAAACTACCCCATTATAAAAAGGGGCAAAGAACTTGAATAGACAGTTCTCTGGAGAAGGTATTCTCCAGAAGGTAATAGACAATTAGCTCATGAAAAGAAACTCAACATCACTAATTATCAGGAAAATACATCAAAAGCACAATGAAATACCAACTTCCACACATTTGGATGGCTAATATATTAAAAAAAAATAGAAGTGTTGGTGAGGATGTGGAGAAATTGAAACCCTCATGCACTGGTGGTGGGAATGTAAAATGGTGCAGCCACTGTGGAAAACAGTGTAACAGTTCCTCAAAAAATTAAACTTGGAATAACCATATAATCTAGCAATTTCCTTTCTGAGTATATCCCAAAAGAATTGAAAACAGAGATTTGAAGATATTTGTACACCCATATTTATGACAGTGTTAACCAAAAGGTGGAAACAAGCCAAGTTTTCATCAAGGGCTAAATGAATAAACAAAATATGGTATGTGTATACACACACGTATATACACAATGGAATATTATTCAGCCTTAAAAGGAAGGAAATTTAGATATATGCTACAACATGGATGACCTTAAATTATGCTAAATGAAATAAGTCAATCTCAAAGGGACAAATATTGTATGATTCCACTGATATGAGTACCAAGAGAAGGCAAATTTACAGAGATAGTAAGTAGAACGGTGGTTGCCAGAGATTAGGAGGGACGGGAAATGGGGAGTTAATGTATAATAGGTACACAGTTTTAATTGTGAAGATGAAAATGTTCTGGAGATAGATGTTGGTGATGGTTGCACAACAAGATGAATGCATTTAATGCCGCAGAACTATACACTTAAAAATGGTTAAAATGGTAAATTTTATATATATATACTTAACCACTTTTAGTGTACTGACTTGTGTCCACCCAAATTCGTATGTTGAAGCCCTAGGCCCCATTGTGACTATCTGGGGATAGGGGTTTCAAAGGGGTAATTAAGGTTAAATGAGATCATAAGGGTGGTCCTAATCCAACAGGAATAGTCTCCTTATATGAAAAGACACCAGGAGTGCCTGTGCACAGAGGCAAGGCCATATGAGGAGAAAGTGATATGGTAGTCACCTTTAAGCCAGGAAGAGAGGTCTCACCAAAAACCAACCCTGCTGGCACATTGATCCTGGATTTCCTACTTCCAGAACTTTGAGAAAATAAATTTCTGTTGTTTAAGACATCTAGTCTGTGGTATTCTGTTACGGTAGCCCAAGCAGACTAATGAAACTACAATTTTTTTCAAGTTAAAAAAATTCATTAGTGATTTTTTTAATTGCAAAATTATATTGATATGAAAAATTCAAAGCATACAAAGGGTAGAAAGTCATAAGGAAGTCTTTTACACCCCTCCCCCAGGAGTAACCAATACCAATAGGTAAAGAAATATATTCCAGGATGCTTTTATGAATATATAAAGCATATATATTTGTATCACAAACACCTCCTTCTTCTAAAGCAAGAATCCATGTAGGGTCTGGTTTAGAAAGGGAAGATACCTTCAAATTTCTTAAACCCTAAAACATAATTTAACAAATTTATCCACTCCATTACCATGGTACATTTAGATTATTTCTAGGTTTTTGCCTCCATCATAAAAATGTGATTAACTTCCTTGTAGCCATTTAAAATTATTTCTATTCCCAACTTTTTCAGATCCTAACATACAATGCAACATTTATTCTTTCCATTACCATTGTTCACATAGGTAGGAGTTCTACATTATTCTCTAAATTACTTAACACATAGAATCACAGAGACACTTTTTCATTCTTCTGTTGTTTAAAGTTTAGAAAGATTTAACTTAGATCAGGGCAAAAACCCATATAAGATCCTGCATCACTTTCTATCTCTCATGAGAATGCAAGGAGATGTGGGGCAGGGATGCAGTCATCTAATGCTTGTTTGACGTTGCGGGATCAGCCCAATCAAGGTAGTTCCCTGACATGACGTAATCTAGTGAAACTTGCTGGAGGCTTTTGTTCCTCTCCACAACAGCTTCTTCAAAGTTCTGATTGAGTAAGTGGCATAGAGCCTAGCTTCCTCTAGAGCAAGCAATCCAAGAGAATGAGATGGAAAGCTGCAATGAGTGCCTTTATGACCTAGCATCAGAAGACACACACCTTCACCGGTATACTGCAGGTTAGGGTAGCCCTGATTCAAAGGGCTGGAGGAGTCTACATTTCCAGAGCCGAGAATGGGGGTTATCTTAGAAGCTAGCTACCAAGGACCCTAACATCTTGATTTTCCTATAACTTACTTTATAAAGCAAGTAGTGGTAATTTTGCAATATCCTGAACCAGTCCAGCTTTGTACTGAAGTGTTCTCTTAAACATAGCTGTGTTTTCAAATACATGTGCACATGGGTGCACTCAAGCATACAAGACTTTGTTTCACAAATTAAAGTTCTACAGATTAAAGCTCTTCTGTTACAGGGTCAGCCTATTAACTTCATAAGGGCACTAGATGCCACCTCAAACTCTCTGAGTAAACAGAGTTCAACATTACAGACTAAAGGCCAAGAAGCTTGGCTTCTATCTACTTGTAATCTGTTAATTAACTAGGAAACTTTTGAGTTTTACTAGAAACTTTTCATTTTCTAGAAACCTTTACCTGTGTTCAACACCCACTTTAATTAAAAAGCGCTTGCAGATTATACTAATTTGCTGAAGGTGACTCAGCTAGTTGAGGTGATGAACCAAGTCTGGGATGGGTGAAAAGGTCAACACAGAGTAAGGAAGACAGTTTCTTATAGTTAACTTTCACCTCTCCTACAGCATAGGCAAATAGGCACCTTTGTAAAATCTTTGCTTGGAACTCACACTTCTATTTTACCACAGTCACGTTTAAATTAAAGTCCATTAATTTATGGATCTAAGAAAACAGTAAAGTAGCTCTAAATTTTTTCAAATTGGGAAAATTCTCGGACACCAGTGGTTTAGCAGGGAGACAGGCCAGAACGAGAGACTTCTGTAGAAACACCAACTTCGTTTAAAAGTGAAGTTCTTACCCCACAAACAGTATCCTAATTCCAATTCCTAAGGTCAAAGCACAAAGGTGAGTGCTGACTGCCTAATAACAGCTTTCCCCTTTCCATTCCCTACTCTCTCTCAGTCATAGATTCCCTTTAATATTCCTCGCTTCAGGGTGCAAAAACGTTGGGGAGCGTAAAGGGGATCAATAATTGCCACGTTTTAACATACTTTTTGCATGTAAGACTAAATTCCGATCTTTAATTTTCACCTGGGCCTGAGTGAGCCAAAACAATCTCTACATGTCTCAACTTGCGCCTGCTGCTACCGCTCCCCTCGTTATTCTAAAGACTCCACTCGAGGAAAGCCATCAGCTTAAGCAAAGAGACACACACAACAGAGGACACTGTCCACCACTGACGAAACAGAGGCTACGCCGTACACTTCAACAGACGCGGGGCCTTACCCTCTCGGCTTCACAGCGCTGGGCCCCGCCCCTCCCAACCGGAACTGAAACCCCCGCGTCCCGCGCCCCCACGGATAGCGTGACGCTCGCGCCCGCCCCGCCTCCCCAGACCCACTGGGCAGGCGCGCGGCTCGCGCATGCTCGGCTGGCGGGCAGCTGGGGTCGCGAGCCGCTGCAATCTGTTGCGCCGCCGCCCGCGGGAGCCGGCAGATCCGGGTCTCGTGGCTGAAAGTGACGTGGTCAGTCGAATCAAAACAGAGGAGGGGAGGAAGCCGGCGGCCAGGAGCAGCGGCGGCAGCGGCGTCCCGAGCAGCCGCAGCGTTCCGGAAGCCCCAGGCGGTCTTTCTGCCGAGCCTTGGTCCCGGCCCCCATCCTCCCCGCCCCGTCGGTTGTTGTCTGGGCGGGTGAGTGTCTCCCCCCTCTCCCACCGCCGTTTGCCGGCACACCCTCCCCTCACCCAGGTTGTTCCTGTGGTGTCCTCAGGCTCCCGGGGGCTGCGGCAGAGAGGGCTGCTTCTCGGACTCGGTGGTTCCCCGGCCCGGCCGGCCGCTCTGCACTCGGAGAAGCCCCCCGCTGCCGAGCCGGCGGCCCCCGGCGAAGAGCAAGGCGGAGAGCCTGAAATTTGGCTTTCTCTGCAGGAAACCAGAGTCGGGGCTTGGCAGGAAAGTGGACGGTAGCCACGGGTGGTTTTATTTTTAGGGCAAGCAGTGAACTCGGGTGGAGGCGTATAATGGAGTAAAAAGAGCGAGACAGAGTCGTAGCTGACAGGAAAAAGCCACAAACCTTGAAATCCACACTGTATCATTTACCTCAGTTTCTCGGCTCTTGCCGGGCTTGATGAAGTCACTAGGATGCGTCCTTTGTTGTGATTGATGAGACAGGAAAGCTGCCATCCAGAAAGCGGGAGCTTTTGGCCCTTATTGTGTTGCGAATTTAAAGGATTCCCTTTTTCTATTTGTTCAGTAAATGGAACCAGAGCTGACCGTAAAGAGGTAGCACCCTTTATTGGAACAGGTAAAGTGCGATAAACCGGTTACTGGAGTACCTGAAGTTGCCGTTTAAAGCCAGTTTTCCAAAGTGCCTGTTTCTGTGTTTGTTAGGATTTTAGCCGGGATGATGTTTGTTAGCTGTAGAGAGTCAATAGGATGTTTTAACTTGTCCTAGTTTGCAAAATCGAAGACGTGGCCTTAAGAAAATGTCTTGGCTTTGCATAGAGTCGGATGAGCTTCACGCACGTAATACCTGTGTTTGTTGAGACTTTCCAGTCTGTGTTAATGTCAGAAACCGCTGGCAGCTCTACATACAGTAACTTGGACGGCGTAAGACCTTTCAGGTGTTACAGTCTGGAGGCCCTTAGGAGGCGTTCTCGCTGCCCAGTCTGTGGAGCTTGCAGCAAGCTTGTGTCCCCTTTCACTTCGAGTGACCGGCCACGCAGATTTTTCTGGTGTATGCTGCTTTGAGCCCTGCCACCCTCCGTGCCCCTCAGCAGTAGAATGGAGGCCGGAAGACCGTTATCTCTCTGTTGTCCTAACTTAGTTTTTAAAAAGAACATTTTTTTTTCCCCAGAGAACTCATTAATTGAGGTGTTTCTTTGGAAAACTTCAAGAAAGAAAAATAGAACTATGTGCTAATTGATTGCCCCTCATCAAATCCAGGAAGATTACTCCCTACAAGGATTTGCCCTTGTGTGGTATAATGTGGACCTCTTTTTAACAAATGTATTTTTTCTGTGTGTGCAGCTGAAAACTTTTTTCTTAATACCACAGTTGGAATCCTGATTTAGACAAATGAATTTATTTTCTTAAAATTCTTTTTTTTATCTTTTGTGTCAACCTACAACTGAATATTTTTGCTTGTATGAAATAATTTGTGATAATTGGATAGAATGTTGATTAAAGCAGATAAGCAAAAAAAGAAAATAAGTCATCAGTATTGCTCCCATCCAGAGATCACCAAAATGTTGGCAGTGGCTTATATTTTTCCAGACTTCTTTTTTGCATTTATGTATTTTATACATAAATAGTTCATACTGTATATGCTTTTCTGTAGCCTGCTCTTTCACACAGCAGTACTTTTTTGAGTAATAAAATTAAAATTTTTGCAGGTAGGGACTTCAGAACCTTAGCTTTTAGGGAATATTCACTGTATGTTTGCCACACGATAGTGATTAAAATCGTGGTTTTAAAAGATTTCTTCTAAATCTCTGTGATGATATTGTAAAACTTAAGAAATTAGTATGCGTGTGTGACAGAGTAAATATTTGCTTAACTCTTGGGAAAGCAGGCACAGAATAGCCTGAGTTGACAATATAGAAGTGTAAAAAGATTTTGCTAATTTAGTAATTTGACTCAGATAAAGGTTTAGTTCTACCCGTTGTTACTGTATGCTCTAAATGCTAACCAGCTATCCAGGCCTCCGGCAGTAAGATCCTGAAAGATTTTACTTTACAAATTACACTTAATATGCTTTATTGACATTGAGTCTTGGATGTGTGTCCAGTGCTTTAGTCCAGTGCTTTATCAGTGGTGCCAAAAGAGAAAGAAATGTCCCTTCACTTCAACTTCAAAGGATAATTAGTACACACTATGAAGTATCCTAAACATGGAACCCCTTTGGTTCCATTAGTTATAAACTTACTGAAAACCTTTAAATTTCTATTTTCATTCTGTGTCTTTTGGGTAATTAGTCCCAGATGCTTACTACTAATGTGACTTAGTACTTATTCTTTGATTTGCCTTAAATTACAGTGTTCAGTATATGTTCTAGATTTGTCTACTTCCTATCCCTACTGCCACCACCTTTGCCAACTATCAGCATCTCTCACCTAGCCTAGTACAGTAACCTTCTGGTCTCCCTGCTTCCACTCTTGACCTTTTATGGCACCTTCCCCTTACCACAGCCTGAGAGATCCTTTAAAGTGTAAATTAGATTATGTCACCCCTTTGTTGAAAGCCTCTCATCACATTCCAAATAAAATTCAAAACTCTATCGAGGTTTGCCAGGCACTACAAAATTTGACACTGCTTTCCTCTCTTATCTCACCTTGTATCCGAACGCCTAGATCAGTACCCCAGAACCTGGCCACGTCAGTTTCTTTTTGTGTTTCAGCCTCCACTAGCATTGCCCCAGGAACTTGCCAGACTTACTCCTGCCTCAGGGCATTTGCACTTGTACCCTGTGGCTTCAGTATTCTCCCATATTTTCCTGTGACTGATTCCATCATGTCATTCAGGTCTTAAGTTCAGAAGGAGCTTGCCCTCCCAATTATCTCACCATTCTCTCTCATTTTAAAAAAATTACATCACTATCTGGAATGTCCTTATTTTTTATATTCTGTCTCCTATACTAGGAATTAAACTCTGGGAAAATGGGGACCTTGTCTGTCCTTTCCACTGCATAGTAGGTGAATGTTGGTTGAATGAGTAAACTTGAACACATCTGTATTACTCTTGAACATACTGTCTTTTAGACCTGTTCTTTCAATGGAAGAACCCTCGTTTTCAGCTTCTTTTTATAGGGCTATATCTTGATTCTCTTACTTCAGTAGTTTTTGATGTTTGGGCCAGAGAATGGCCACATTCTACTTTAGATGTATAGAATTAATCCCTGGGAGGAATAGGTCCCAGGTATCTGCATGTTTAACCAGCCCTTCAGGTGATTTGAATACACATCAAAGTTTGAGAATATGTTAATATTTTAATGGCTTTTCTCTGGGAGATTACTTCTTGCTTAATAGTAGTAATGATAGCTTTCATTTTGGAGAACACTCTATGAGTCAAGTATTATGCTAAAAACTTACATGTTTTTCATTTAACTGTAGAGCAACTCTGATGTAGGCATTCCTACTCCGATTTTACAAGTGAAGAAACAGAGACATAGTAAGTAGCAGAAAGTTGTCTATTTTCTTAATCACTGTACCCTACTGCTTCTGAACTACAGTATTTAGAACTGTATACAGCACTTTGATTATGATAGGCCATGTTTTTAAGGGCAAAACAGTGTTTTCTGTCCCATTTCCAGTCCTATACTTAATGAATTGTTTTGTTGGTCTTTTTGCCTGAAGTTGCACAATTGGTAGATGACTTCAAGAAACATTCTGCAGACTCCTAAGCTTCTTGCTTTGTTGTTTTGAGTTTTCGGAGCCTACCAGGTTTAAAGTAAATTTGGAGTATTTTCTCCTGCTTATATATTACTTTGCATTCCACACACCAAAATCCCATCAGTTTCTGCCTGCTTGTATAGTCATTTGAATTCGTCCTACATTTTCTCCATTGATTTCAGTGTTTTACTATTTGGACTGTCATTGAATCATCTTAAACTGAATAGATTTCTCACTGCGAGACCAATTTCCAAATGAATTAAAAAAAATGTTGCATTTGATTGATACACTGATTTGAGGTGGAGAGATGACTTAATACAGAGAAATACTGCTTGTCTTTACTCTCTTCCTAGTCTTGAAGCCTGGCTAACTGTGTATATCTGTTAAAGCTCAGGTCACACATCACTTACCAGAGCTCTAACCCACCTCAGGCTTCTGTAAATAGCTGTCTGTGGCTCCCATCACTTCACCTTCCATATTTAATTGTCTGTGGCTGTCTGACCTATTTGATTGGGAGGCCCATAAGGTCAGGAAAAACCAATTAAGCAATCAGGCTTGTTCATAGAATAAATGGAGAAAAGTCTCAACTTTAACTGTATCTGTAAAAAAACACTACATTGCAAAAGAAAGTATTTGTACTAATCTTTTTCTGTATAATTTAATATAACTTAGTACAAAAACTTCAATAAAAGACACTAAATTGTAAATTGGTGATAATTAATAGTGACATATTAGTATATGGGTTGTAAAGATTTTTGCAGAAAAGTAAGCACTCCTGACTGTTACATTGTGGCTTATATTGGGATTTTTTAAGATTGTGAAACTTCTTATGCAAGAACTACTACAGGCTTATAAGTAAAGGTGTATTTTGGGTTTATATTTATGTACATATTCATGATTTGGCCCACACAGCAAGTAGTAACCATCTGAATGGTTGTTTTTGTAGTTGAGCACATGTCTGTAGATCCTGCAGTTAGTTTAAGAACAGTTTGGGCACTTCAAAACCATTTTATTTATTTATTTATTTTAAAACATTTTTTATTGATTTATAATCATTTTACAATGTGTCAAATTCTAGTTTTCAGCACAATTTTTCAGTCATACGTGGACATATACACACTCATTATCACATTTTTTCTTCTGTGATTCCCTGTGCTATACAGTATAATCTTGTTTATCTATTCTGCAATTTTGAAGTCCCAGTCTATCCCTTCCCACCCTCCGCCCCGCCTGGCAACCACAAGTCTGTGTTCTATGTCTATGAGTCTATTTCTGTCCTGTATTTACGCTTTGTTTTTGTTTGTT